AGAGGGACTGTTAGCTCATAGTTCTGACTTGGGGAGATGGAAGCAGACCATAGTCAGTGACTCACTAGAAGTCACCTGGTCTGCCCAGGGGTCCCTCAACCAAAGGAAGAAGTCCTGGCTGCTTCGTTACAAATGGTGGCCAAAGGATGTTCCTGGCAGAAAAGCTCTTTATACATATGTTCTTTCGAAACTCTGCCTGTAGCCAGAGAAAGCAAGGCCAGGGACCTAACTGAAGAAACAGTTGCTTGGTGCCTAATAGTTTGAAAGCATGCAAAAATGTGAGTAGATAGCTTCGCGTTAGTCTCTGTGGCTGGCATCTTCAGAGGGCAGCACTCTGTGCTCTGGTGACCAGAGCACAGAGTGCTGTCCTCTGAAGATGCCGGCCACAGAGACTGGTGAAACGTTAGGGAGAACAACCTTCAGAACACGGCCAAAGAGCCCGAAAAACCCACAACAACCATGAGATGCTAGATTAATTTTAAAAGGCCTTCCAAGCAAGGATGGGTGAAGGCTAAGGTTGCCAGACGTCTGGCAAAAGGAGGACATGTCCTCCTTTTTAGCCTAATGTCCTCCATCCGGCAGGCAAAGATAAAAATCTTTAAAATGTCTGGCTTTTGTATATTTTTTGTTATAATTTTGGATGGGAGGGGGAGATGTGGAAGGACCCCCTTCCGCCGCCCCCTTTATGAGCGCCCTTCTTCCCGCTCCCCTTACCTGCTGCCGGCGCTGGAGCATAGCCCTTGCCACATCCCACCGTGGCGGTGGCTGCTCTGCGATCCTCCATGCCCGCCCAGCTCACGTGGAGCCCAGAAAGGCCGCATGAGTGGAACGCTGCCCACCGCGCCAGGCAGGAGCAAGCAGCATCCGAGCACATCGATGGGAAGGTGAGCACCCAGACTGTGTGTGTTCAAAGTCCCTTTCGGGGACTCCAACTCCCACACTCCCCAGCCTTGAATTTATGACCCTCATGGGAGGGGAGGCTGCCTTGTTCGGCTTTGCCCAGTGGCACTTTCCACCTGCCTCAACGGGAGTCTTGTTTGGACATCTAGATTAGCAAGATTGCCTCTGAGCCTATGCAGAGTGCGAGCGGATGGAGGATCTGACAGCCGGACCGGGGTTGGTTCAGGTTTATTTGCTTTGCTCCCAATCAGAAGCCGCTGTTTCTTGGTAGGCCCCCTTCCTGTTTGTTAAATAAAACATTCAATACGTCCTCCTCTGTCCTCTTTTTTGTTTTTCTATGTCTTCCTTTTGGTACCCATGTATCTGGCAACCCTAGTGAAGGCAGTTTAGCACCAGCAAAAGTATTTTTAAGGGATGTTCAACTAAGTCCTAAAAAGAGTAATGGGGGCAGGGAGAGTGACTGTGTATTGCCACTATTGATGAGTTTCCTCCATCAGTATCCTTACCACCTCTCTGCTACATTTTCTCTCCTGTAGTGTATTCTCTCTTTTTTTAAAAGTACCCAACAAAAAACATACGTTGTCACAATTACCTCTCCCTAAAGAGATAGTGATCTTGGTCAGGGAGGCACTGTGGGTGCAAAACTACCACCTTTAGTGCTGAGGTAGGTCCTTTAGGCCTCAGATGTGCCTAGTACACGCCCTATGGACAAGCCCAACCTGAAAGAAACCTTTTGCCTGTGTACAAGGCAGTTTCCGTTGTCACGAGGCCAGCATGACTAGGGAACACCATTTTGCCTTCCCACCAAGGTGGTACCTATTTATCTACTCACATTTTTGCATGCTTTCAAACTGCTAGGTTGGCGACGTGCTGGGACAAAGCGACAGGAGCTCACTCCGTCGCGTGGATTCGATCTTACTTGGTCTTCTGACCCTGCAGCACACAGGGTTCTGTGGTTTAGTCCACAGCGCCATCACATCCCTTCGCAAGTGCACTTCTGCGGTTTAGTCCGCAGCGCCATCACATCCCTTCGCAAGTGCGTTATCTCTTCCCAATTAAGTGGTATGCTGTTTCGTCTTCCCTGGGCCTCTTCAGCCTTGCTTTCTTACCTTCGTGCCTCATGAGAATATTTCAGTGCTTTCAAATCCATCTTACACAGAACCTAACAGACTCCATCTTTGTATGACTAGAAGTCCCAATTTCCTCCTATTTCCTCACACACATTTGCAAAAATGTGAAAAGAAAACTGCCTACAGTGTTGCAGCTCGCACAAACATGCATCAGTAATTGGGTGTCTACACAGGAAAATGTACACAAACATGCATCAGTAATTGGGTGTCTACATAGGAAAATGTATATAGTTTATAAATAAGCAGGCAAATGGTAAGAAATATGCATAAAAAGGCATACATTTGAAAAGTACACACCCAAATATGTATGGATTCTGAGATAGGGTTCTTGTAAAGAGCTGGGATTAAGATCAAAGGGAAAATGAGTACTCTGCCTCAATTAAATTGAGCTTGACAGACTCACTCATCCCAAACTGTGACTCACTACTTATTCCATTCAGATGCTTCAAACTGATCATTGTAGTACTCCTTTCAAAGTGTTGATTTTCCTTACAATTTTCTTTGACTTATTTTATACATTCCATTGAGTTATTTGTTTGTTGCTTAAAAGAAGATGTTTTAATTTGAGGAAGGGTATTTAAAAAAACTTACATATTTTAGCTTTTAATTCATTGGAGAAAGCTTTACTGTTTCTTTCATTAATCATACTCTATTATTAATCTAAGAAAATAAATGTCTTTTTAAAAAACGGCAGTTTAATGAAACTGGAATCATCAAACCAAAGTAAAGGCCTATGTAATCTTTTATGGATACTTTTGTTTTTTACTCACTGCAACTCCCAGATATTTTTCTTCCTCAGCTAAAACCAGCTGAGATACAATTGGTGAATATATGATCCATCACACTCATCACTTTGATCTTAGTTCAAACTGAGGAATCCTGTAGTGACAAAAAGTCAAACATATACATAAGATTTTGTGATATGTTTTATTCAGTGCTTTTGAGGTGCACATGACCTCACTATCGACATCTGGTTCCCCCAACTCTGCTTCCACTAACTCTTGAACCCACCAGTCTTTTCCAGTTAATAGGTTTGCCAGCTAAACAAATGTTTGGAATTGTGAAGAGTCTTTTAAACTATGTGATGTGAGCTATTTGATTTATTCTTCCCACTGCTTCTTCTTGGCAGATTTGTTTGTTTTAAAGGGGGGGAAATTTAAAATACTCTCAGGCTACATATTGCCCCTGCCCGGAGCTGGGTACTCAATTTATTCATCTCGGAAGAATGGGAGGCTGAGTGAACCTTGAGCTGGTTACTTGGTATTGAACCTGGGTCGTGAACAGAGTTTTGGCTACAGCACTGCAGTTTGACCACTACAACAAGGCTCCTCGTCATAATATTTTAAGTTGTTTTGAAGTAACAATCAGTTTCTTTATCTCAGGATATTGTCACAAGAAGCTATAAGCATAAAATACATAAGCCTAAATACAAATCCAGCAGATTGTGGGAGAGGAAATGGTGTTTGTAACAGAATGCCATACTACATTCTTATGTACGATTCTATGATTTTTTTTTTCCATTTTGGTATTGTTGTTACTACTTTTCTATGTGCAAATAGAAAGACACTTGAAAGTATTAACTTGACAGGTTAATACTTGCAGTGAACATGAAAACCAGTCAGGTGCTTTGGCTGAACCTCAGTTCAAAGAATACCAACTGCATGGCTTTTTGTTTCTCTGGCAAAAAAAAAAAGAGAGAGAAGACGTGTATAAATGGAACCTCAGTTCAAAGAATACCAACTGCATGGCTTTTTGTTTCTCTGGCAAAAAAAAGAGAGAGAGAGAGAAGACGTGTATAAATATATTAGGTGTCATGGCCAGGAACGGCATGGTTCCCATCAGCTTACCTCTTATTACTGAAATAAAACATTAAATTAGAATAGAAGTGCCTCTTCAAGTTGCAGTCTAGCTTTTAGTAGTTGAACTCCAGAATGTGAAAAGGCAAGGAACGTTAGCCGTATTTAATTAGTAGCAGATGTGGGCTCTACGTGCTGAAGCATATGTGAAGACGTTTTTTAAAAAGCATAGCAAAGAGATTGTTGCCAAACCGGAAGGGAAATAAATATATGAAGCCAGACATGCAAGGCAGAGAGCATTAAAGGAACACACTTTGGAAAAGAGCAGACAAATATCCCTGCAAAACAGACTTTTCCTTCAGGACGGCTATAGTGGTGCTTGTTTTCACCCTGACTATTTTTTTTTTAGCATGTAATAAATTCTGGTTTTGTCTCAGAGTTACCCTTGGGTCAGGTGGAGGCAGGATGGCCAGGTCCTCTCCTTGTTGGTTTCAGCACCAAAACCTGAGACCAGAGTGTTGGTCTTTGTGATGTCACAGGATTTCAAGATTTTTCAGTGTCAGGTTCTGGCGCGGCATGCAAACCAAGAAGGCCTGTGAGCTCAAATGCAGTGCACCACAAGGCAGAATGGGCCCAGCTGTAGGCACCCCCTTATGTTCTCTCCCCCAAGTTCTCTTCCCTAAGTCCTGGTGCTTTGCTCACCTGACATGGCATAGCTTCCACACTCATACAACTGCTTTTGTCTTGAGCCAGCAATTTGATGATTAAAAAACACACACATATATAAGTTAACAAATACAGATCAGTGACCTCTGTAGCCATCTTTTTGAGTGATGATGATGCATTTCCTCTTCTTTCCTCTAAAGTAAATGATCATCCTAACTCTTCACTCAGCAGTGAATATGATACACCTAGCCAGGCTGTGCTTCTATTTTAGCCAGACTATGCTAGCTTATTCTTCTATTGTATATTGGTACTCTGAATTATTTTCATTCATAACTAATGTACTCTGAGCTGGGGAGAAATCTGTTGCCTTGGTTACTGCATAATAATCCATTGTTATTCTTGGACCTTGCCCACCTGCTGCATTTATGTTTAGTTTAATTACAATCTGTTCAGTGCCTGTTTTGTATAGATGCTGAGTGAAGAGTTCATTTTTTATTCAGGTGCCATAACAAACATAAAGGAGGTGAATGATAAAAGATTTCTTAGCCATGGAAAAAATCAATATTGTATACTGGCAAATATTTTTCTCCCTTCTGTTGAAATGTTCATTTAACAAGCAGAACTAAATGATTTCAGTGTAGTCTTTCTGTCATGGGTGAAATTGCTTCCTTGCAAAATGTAGGCAGATAATGAGTAGCGCTTGCCTCACTGTAGGTCCATTTTCTTTCCAGTGAATGAATGTCGATAGCAGATTTCAACTGTATAAGCATAAATCGGACATTGTAAATTAAGGTTCCATCTGAAAAAAGTTAGGCCCTAAAAATTGTTTTCAAAACTACTCTTTACATATGTTGGTGTACCACAGCCAGTCCAATACATATTGATACAGAGGTTCTGGCTGAAGTTAGTCTTCGTGCACATCTGTTTATTTTTTAACTGGACTACCAGTCAGAGGATCTTCCTGTCATTTCTCCAGGCTAGGCTACCCTTGCATAATCTCTATGGAGCCTGCCTTTGAAAATGATGTGAAATTTTCATTTTAAAACAAAATGCCTATTTATGTTTATTAGGAGGAATAATAATGTTGCACACAAAGAATGAGCTCCAAATTTATTTCTGACCCAAGTCAAATACTGGTTTTAACCTTTAAACGTCTGAATAGATTTGGTCTTTTTTCTTACAAATCCCTACCGCACAATACAGTGAAATCAGTTGAAGAGAACCTACTGTATTTGCTGGTACTAGAATGATGATAGAAAGACTCTAATTCTTTCACAAATTAGGTAAATTGATAAAACCTATTTCTTTATTGTATTGTATCAATGTTTGTACAAACATGACTGAAAAAACACACAGTGGTTGGCATTTTTGAGCACAGTTCCTTGTCATGTCAAAATGTCTCAATACATCAAGATAACCTGTTAAAATGTATTATCAACCACTGTAATTCCCCCCCCCCACTCCTGCATGAGTCCGAAAAGACCAGAGATATCTTCCATGGATTTTTTGTAAACAGAAGTATATTTTGCATTTAAAAAATCTGCGCTCTGTGCAGAATTAAAAGGGCTTTTTGTACAATGTATAGGAGTTTTAACGTAATGCACACAGGTTTTGTATAGAATGAAAGCTTTTGTGCAAAAATTGCTTTTATATTATTATTTTTGCTGAAAAAGTCCTGAAATGCAAAAAAAGCACAAACACTTTTTATAATCTCTCACAGTAAAGAGAAAACTTTTTAAAAAAAAATCCTTCTATCTGCAAGAAAAAAAAGAGAACATTTACATTCCTGCTTTATATCACAGAATATTCAATTGTGACTCCCCACCTGCAATCTGAAGAGCTACAGCCCACAGACATCCACTTCATTGTACCTTCAGTGAGAACGAATACAGATTCCTGCATTGATTTCTGCTTTTCAGTTTATGCAAAATGTTGTTACTTGTTCAGGTGAAAATCCATTAGGAGTTTTAATTAACCATTTACCATGTCCCCATGGGGAGCAGGGAAGTGAAGCAGATTTCAATAACATTCTCCAGTACTGAATGGGACACTATGGTGAACAACTGAATTGATTGTGCAGCTATGTTGTGGCAGCTGCCTTGCTTTGCCAAGAGAGAAAGCTTCTAGTGATACTAAATATGGCAGTAATCTAAATAACAAAGTGCATAAAAATAATGACAAGGAATATATTCGAGGGGCGGGCGTTCAGATGACGAAACATTTTTGATTTGTTTCCAGTGAGTTGTTTGTGGCCTCCAGAGCAGCACAGCTTGTTTCTTGCGATGCTTAAGCAACATTATGTCAGCAACGTTGTTGCTGCAGCATTAAAACTTGGCAGGCCTCTCTGTATGTCTGTTATCATTTAATAATCAGATGCTAACATAGACACTTACCAGCAGTCCTCAAGGTGCGATGCCAGGGCTTCAGCTGGAGGTATGGACAGTTGCTAAGGAGACACAAACGATCTCTTTGATCACTCACAACACACATCATGCAAAGACTTTGCAAAGAGGGAATAGTACAGGGCAGTGTAGCTTATTTCAAATTGCTATGTATCGCCCCCGGGGAGATGATTTATGACTTTGATGTCTCAGCACAAGGGAAAGGGGCTTAGGGAATCCTTTTCACATGTGAACACGTTTGCCTTCACTGCAGAAAATATTTTTAAAAGCTCCCCTTCCTTGTCACTGTCTTCTACTCTTGTATTGTGGATATCTTTACCCTACATCTTTTCCTTGGGCTGGGAGAAATTTTCATTGCAAAACAAAGCTCATACATCACCCCATAGTACTTAAAACCCTCTCTGGGCAATTTAAAATTTAATTATGCAGGCTACACATTGCCCCCCCCCACAAGCAATCTGGGCACTCGGTCTGGCTATCTGAATCCATTGTGATCAAATTCAGGTTGTCAGCAGGGTCTTGACTGCAGTTTAACCACTGTGCCACAAGGCGCCTACAAATCCTGCATAATCAGTAGGGTCATAAATCATCTGACAGGGAGGCAGGGCTTAGTAATCAGACCTCACTACAACTTCCACCAAATTCACTCTTTCAAGTGATGGTGAGGGCAGCCAGGTTGAGATGGTGGATTAGGTCTGGAGAGGTCTGGAATTCAACCCCATACTCATCTGCAAAGCTCATAAGCTGCTGTTGGACCACTAATTGTCACTCTAATGTACCTCTCATTGCAAAGTTAATGGGAGAAGGGAGGGGTAAAACTGTTTAAAAGCAACCGCATTTCTTGAATGGGTTTTGCTTCATACTGCAGTCTGAAGCATACATACATTCCATTGTTTAATATGAAGAAACAGCAGATAGTTTGGAAAAAGGCATGAAAGCCTATGCTGTATTTACAAGATGAAAGTGTCTCAGTGGGTTTATATTGTGACTTCAGAATTCTATAGCTTTCTAAATAATTTTGAGCAGGAGCCATAGATTAAAATGAGGAAGGACTGAATGGCTGATAAAACTGGCCCCATCAACATCTATTTCCACACAAGAACAAAATAAGAGGCAAGCCTCAAAATGGTATTGAAAAAGTCCAAGAAACATCTGTTAACTTCCAGGGGGTGAAACCAGAGCTGTGATAACCCATTAAGATCACAGTCTAACTGTCCATGGTGACAGAAGAACAGCTAAGCTAACATAAGGCCAAAGCTGTACTGAATCCAGATCTCCCAGACTAAGGATGTCAGAATTTACCAAGGACTACCCTTTGGCCTAGTACTGTATTTGTCTCAGCACAGTGGCTGTGTTTCTGGGCTGGTGGAGATTTGGATCTGACATAAACTCAGCTTCTCTGTGCTTCCTCTATCCATTTTTTAGCTCTTCTGCCAGCAGGGTAGTTCTGCTGGCAGATCTCTGAGATCAGCCAGAGGTTTCTACTTCGGGCAACATATCTTTGAGTGAAGGTTGCACTGGAAGGCAACAACCTGCATATTTGATGACAGTTTGTTTTGTTTTGCATTTTTTCTCAGTGTTATTGAAAAATTAAACAATTGGTTGTATGCCTTCATCATACTATAGCCTTCTATAGCATTGATCTATTTGCATTGATCTATTTGACCTTGGCTCTGCCAACATATGAGCAGTGACGTCATCCCATGAAATTCAGAATGGACAAGAACACCCTAATGTAAGGAAATTCCAAAGGCATAGCCCAGAATGCAACAAGCAAATGGGAATAATAATAATAATAATAATTTTTTTAATAATAATAATATAATTTATTGTCATTGTAAGTATATACACAGTATACCCATACAACGAAATTCACAGAAACCCAGAGACCAGACACATGCACACACATAAAATTCCCCAAACACTCCCCACCCACTAAAAGTCTCCCACTAAAAATACAAACTTCTACTACCACAGGTAGTTTACATTTTACCTTTTAAATTAATAATAACTAGAATCGTATTTGTTATGTATGCATATGTAAGTGCAGGGGCATAAATTCAAGCAGCGATTCACCACTGGGTAATAAGTTGCCACTTGTATTCCTTGTCATGCACAAGTCACACTGCACTTAACGCTGGCATAAATAACTAATAAAATTCTGGTCATTGGTAATTAAACCTTACTAAAATGTTAAAGTAATCCTTACAATAAGAAAATTATCACAATCAAATTGAATAGAAAAAAAGTGAATCATTCACAAATAATAATTTCTAAGCTTCTTTGGAACCTATTTTAACTCCTTTTATCAGCTGCTTATTAAGTTAGTGGTTGGGATTCAGTTACTGACTTTTCTTTTTGTGTTTATGAATTTTCTAATTCATCAGGAAGGTCAATATTTGTTTGGAAGGGCACCATTAGATTGGTTGGTTGGCCGGTTTCATGCTATTTAAGAGCAGCATTTCTTCTCTTCTGAAAATCTTTATGCTAAAATCGTATATAGGCTTACTCAGTAGAAGGTTCTACTAAATGAAATTTACTGCATTTGCTGCCAAGAGAGGGTGTATAGGATTACACTTCTGATTTTTATTACAAAGGATTTTTAACACGACTTTTTACAGGAGTTACATGACAAGATTTTTGAAAAAAAAAATCTGTGATTAAACTATAACATGTTGTCTGCAGTCCTCCAGGGCTTTGCTGCTTTTCTGAGGAACAGAAATACAATCTAATAGTGACTATTGCAACAATCAACATGAAAAGTGTTAATTCAAGTGAATGTGAATGCATCTCTGGGATATTTCTTTTGCTGGTTGTTGAATAGTCTTTGTTTCCATATTTGCATAAATTTAAATACATATTAGTTATTTAATCCTTTCATTACATTCTGTATTTTAGTAAAATGAATTATTGTTAAAAACAATGTATTATCTTACTGGTTTTATTATTCAAATTGACTTTAAATTTTTTGATTGATTTGATTAGTTTCTAACCTTTTATAATTAACTTGACAGCCATTATTGCTACTAGCGACCGTTGTTAATGTAGTTACTGTTAGTTGAAAATATCCTTGGCGCAATATATGTAAAAGAGGGAGATTTGATTAAACCTAACTTGACAAATTGTTTTCTTTTTCTGAGGGAAGGGAAAATATAAGGTTAAGTATGATGAAGGAGGTTCAAAAAAACGCTCTTTTTTGGCCGTTTCTTTTGACTGTATTCTCACAGACGTGGCAGAAAAATTGGCATTTTCCATAAGTCACGTATGTAAGACATACTTTCATTTAAAGCTTTTGGTGACTGAGAAAGAAGACGGCTTATGTTATAGTTGTCTTTTTGTTTTAGAGGGGGATTTAAATGGCTGTGAGATATGCCCTCTCAGAACATAGTTTATAAGGCGACTGACAATTATAATAAGTAAACACATTTCCCAGTATTAAGAATCAAAGTCTGTGGTGTTCCAACAGCCTCACTCAGAGATGGACCTTGCACAAAGCAAATGTGAGAAGCTGTTTGATCCTGTTCCCTCCCTTGAGTGGGGTCTTGCCAATGGCAGTTTTATTCGTTGAAAGCTAGATGCTTGGTAATTGGCAAGAAACAGAAAGAGGAAATAGAGGGTAATAGGCCAGCTGGAGAGAATTTATTTCATAAATCTTCACGATTTTGTTTCCAATATGCATATCTTACTATCTGTGAAGTAAACATACCTCAGGATTCCAGTGGCTCTAAGCTATGTTACCAAGCAGTACAGTTTAGGGGAGCTGGCACTGGGGGTAGACTGTTTTGGATTCAATTTGAGATCCATTAAAAATCCTTCAAGTGGAAAAAAAATCACTGAGGTTCTGTGAATTCATTTAAAAACTAGCATTTTAAATAAATCTGATTCTCCATATCCACATTGGTTATAAAAGTACTGTAAAATCATTATGTACTCAATATAGGCTACAGCAGTGTATTTTCAAACACAACTGTGGGTTGAAACAAGATAGTAGTAAAGATGGTGTAATGAAGATTTTTGACAATGTCATTAACTTGACCTTTGTTATGTTCCTACATAAGTTCTCTTTGCACCTCATTAAGCAGAAAGCCTACTTTGGAGATAGTTTACATTCTAGGAGAGTAGAAGAAAGTGCAGGAATCTATATGGTGACTAAGAGCATACTCTCTCTAGACTCTTATTTATTTTTCACTAGGAAGCTGTGGAAATTGAAAGTCAGCAGTGTGGAGGGGAATGATCTCTAACTGAGAAATGCCCATGTCTTCCCCAAGCCACCATTCCCAGAATTCTTTGTGGGATGCCATGAAAGATAAATGGATCTAAAGCAGTACTTTATTTCTAGCACCATAATCACAGGAAGTGCAGCAGGAGGAATGGACGGTGGACGCAGAGCCTATGGTGACAGAGACAGGATCTGAACATCCAGCATGTTTCAAGCAAGCACTGCAGTCCTCCAGATTCTCAGAGTCTGCCCAGAAATGTTAAACATACCTAATATAGTAGAAACCACTAGCAAAGAACATGGAGTACTGGATCAGTTTTGTGATGTGTTGCTTTACCATCTCTCCTCTAAAAACTGAGATTTGAGAGACCTTGTGAAACTTTTGCCACTGAGTAGAAGGAGGAAGAATCAGTCACAAAATGCCATTCCCTCAACTCTTTTTCCTGCCTTTCTACCTGTTTATGGAAAGCATGAGAAGCATGTGCTTTTCAAATGCATGTTTTTCAAATGAATGCAAATATTTGGTCAATTTTTGGAAGACACTTGTTCTGTTTTAGATGTCTCCCAAAATTGTCTGAATCAGTCCAGCTTGGTTTTGGGAGAAAAATTTCCTCGCAATTCAAAGCATACCCCTAGTTAAAACCCATGTGTCCTCCTCATATAGAAAGAAAAGGTGTTGGGTACGATATTAAAAATCAAGGGAGCACCAAGGAGAGAGGAGCTGACCATGTTCTCTTGTGTGGCTCATCCTCTGGAGCCTAGAAGCAGTTCTAGAGCCTAGAAGTTCTGGAGCCTAGAAGCAGTTCTTTTCAGTTGTTTGTCCAGAGATTCTTGCAGCATCCAGATTCTAGCTGGGGGATTGTGGGGGGCTGCAGTTTTTTTATTTCTGAAGAACCTCTTGCTAGCTCTGAATAATAAACTGTTGACCACTATGAGCACCAATCAATTTTAAAATTAGCCTCCTTTAGACACAGTTGGAGCAGCTCCACATTTAAACACACACAGAACTGCCGCTATTATGTTTCATGCCAGCCTCTGTACAGAAGGTCCATCTGCAGCCCCTTTTATTTTAGTTGAAATGGCATAAGATTTTGGTTACGTTTTAGCAGGAAGGGAAGGGGGAGACTTTACATGGTTAGTACTCTGAAACGTTTGCTCAGCAGTATTTAAAAGGAGGCAGACACGCCTCTTGTCAAGTGGAGGTGCACACATCTCCTGGGCAATTGGTGCAACCAGGTGAAGATTAATCTGTCAGCATTTCCCTGCTGTTTGGAGGTTGTTACATCGTGTGCCCTTCTGTCCGCGCAACTGGGCCTCTCTCCAGGTTTGCTGTCCTAGATCATGTAACAAAGTGTAGACCTTGCCAACATGCTAGGACCTACAGTGACCTACAACTTCATTATATAAGTTGTCATACTAATAGAAATAAGGTCATAAACGTGATTTCCCCTCTTTTCTTTTTGGCTTTATGAAAAAATAACTTGGAGAGTAGCTTTTTTGAAAGTGGCTCTTTTATATTTTGGACAACGGTGGGCAAAATACAGCCTTGGGGATCTCTGTGAGCACTGAAGTGTTTTTTGTTTGTTTGTTTGTTTGTTTTTAGTACCTATCTACACACACATACACACACACACACACACACACTTCCCAGAAAACAAGTTATGTATCACCATTTCTAATAGCCTCCAGGAACTACAATTCACCCTTCAACTGGTCCCAGGCCCCCAGCACCATTTAATACTATAGAATAACCCCTTTTTCAAAGCCAGAAGTAACTTCTATCTTCTTTCGAATTTATTCTTCTAAAATGTTGGGATTTTTGGCTGTCATGCAGCCCCCAGAGAAAAGAGCAAAACATAGCACATACCCTAGCCTACCAAAGTTATACAGCTCCTAGTCTAGGCAGATCATTGACCAGCCTCTTGAAAAGTTCAAACCTCATCAGAAAGAGACACACACTGCAGCACAGTTTCATGGCAAAGAACCATTGTTTATTCAAATGTGTGGCAATCGCAACGATTAGGGCAGCAAGATGATGTGTTATGCATTGGTATGATAAAAACAGCCAGGGTTTGATTTTCCCACAGTTATTCATTAAAATGAATAATAATGATCATGTGCCTTCAAGACCACTCTGACCTATGGTGACCCTTTTCAAGGTTTTCCAGGTGGAGAATACTTAGAAGTGGTTTACCATTTCCTTCTTCTGGGGACACCCCGGGACTGTGCAGCTTGCCCAAGGCTACACAGGCTGGCTTTACTTGCAGGAGGCACAGTAGGGAATCAAGCTGCCAACGTCTGGCTCCACAGCCAGATACCTAAACCACCGAGCTATTCAGCCAAAAATTCATTAAAACTACATGTCCAATATTTTCTCAAAGTTTGCAGAAACCAAGATTCAGCCTGAATCCAATCAGTTCAAAAGTGGCTCATAGCACCAACATCGGAGCAGGATACAAATAATTTAGTACATGTGGAAAAATATGTTTTTCACCCTTTGTAAACATACTTTGCTGACCAAAATATGTTTACATATATTGCTTAAGAATGTTGCAACAAAAACCCAGAAGGAGATAGCCACTTGCATCATTGCGGTGGGGTGAGGGGTGGGGGAGGGAAAGAGCAATGGGAAAAAGATAGATTTGGGGACTAAACTCCAAAATCTGCTTGTCAGACGCTGGGAGTTGTGGTTTTAAAAAAAGTAGTGTTTTTCTGGCAAGAATAATAAAAGAGTTTTGTGCTGAACAGAGTTTCCATGGATCAACACCCAATTTGTCAGGGCTAAGGAGTGTGAACCCTCTGCTGAGAGACAGAGCTACAGATGTGTTATATAAATAACATAGTCACAGGAGGATATATACACTGGAGGGCCAAAAGGCCAGTAATCTAAGAGGCACAAGAGGTTTGTGTCATAAAGCCATCTTTTCATACAAACGTCACAAACTTCCTGTCCCTCTTGCATTACATGGCTTGTTGACCCTAGTGCTTACGTTTCTCCTTTCCAGAACTCAAGTGTGTATATTGCTGGTTGCATCTCTCTCTC